GACCTGGAGACATTTGGGCTTCAAAAGCAGAGGAATGAGGCTTATATTGTCAAATCCAAATCAAGTCAATATTCCTTTATTCTTCAAATCTGCTTGCTGTGAATAATTTAGTTGGAATTTGCTCATATCCAAAAGGGCTATTCTGTATTTGTCTAATTTTATGCTACTTTGAAGACCAAGTCATATTTTGTCCTATCACCATTTCTTGGCTTACCTACAACATGTATATGTTTGTATGCATTCATTCAAAAAATTTACTGAGTAGTTCTGTGCTGGGCACTATAGATACACAAAAAACATGAGTAGGAGCTTGCCAGGTGGACAAATTAGGGAGAGCATTCTAAACTGGAGGTACATCATGTGCAAAGTTCCTAAGGCATGAAAGAATAGGACCTGTTTTGGAGCCACAAGTACTGTGCAACACAGTGCTATGGTATCTGGTGAGCAAGTGGTTTAAGATGAAATCAAGTAGACAGGTAGGTGATAGGCAAGACTATTTGTATATATCATGCAAAGGGGTTAACATTTTGTCATTCTGGCACTGTGCATCTGCTGAAGAATTTTGAGCAAGGAAACAACGAGGTCATATTTGTGTGTTATAAAGAAATTCTAGCTACCAAGTACAAGATGGATTAGAGGGGTGTGAGGCAGAGGGAAGGAGAAAAACAAGGAGGCCATTGGAGTAGTATGGGTATGAGATGATGAGTGACTGGACTAGGATGTGAAAGGTTATGAGTAAGGGATTTAGGAAGTAGAACTGAGAAGACTTGACATTTGATTGGTATATTAGTTTTCTATTACTATCATAACAAATCACCACAAACTTAGAGGCTGAAAACAACACAAATTTATTATCTTATAGTTCTTTAAGTTAGAAGTCTGCCATGGGTCTCAGTGGGCTAACATCAAGGTGTCAGTAGGGCTGTACTCACTTTTTAAGCCTTCGGGGAAATTTATTTTCTTGCTCATTAAGGTTTTTAGCAGAGTTCATTTCCTTGCTTCTATAGAATTGAGGTTCTCATTTCTTTGCTAGGTATCAGCTGAGGCCCATTTCCATCTTCCAGATGCTGCCTGCATTCCTTGGCTCATGGCCACTTCCTCTATTTTCAAAGGCAGCAATGACAGGTTAAGTCCCTTTCATACGTTGAATCTCTCCTGACTCTTCTTTTTTCTTTCTGCCTCCCTCTTCCACTTTAAAAGACTCATGTGATTAAGTTGGGCCCGTCTAGGTAATTCAAGACAACCTCCCCGTCTCCAGGACCTTTACCTTAATTGCATAAATAAAGTCCCTTTGCCATATAAAGTAGAATATTAATAGGTTCTGAGGATTAGAATGTGGACATCTTTGAGGGAGCCATTATTCTGCATGCTCTAATTGGATATGGCAGAATGTAGAATCCAGGTTTCTGACTTCAACAGAATGCAGCCTTAAGAAAGGAAGGTGGAATGCAGCCTTAAGAAAGGAAGATGTTGTGGCCGGGCACAGTGTCTCACGCCTGTAATCCCAGCACTTTGGGAGGCCGACGTGGGTGGATCACCTGAGGTCGGGAGGTTCGAGAGTAGCCTGACCAACATGGAGAAATCCTGTCTCTACTAAAAATACACATTAGCCGGGCATGGTGGCATATGCCTATAATCCCAGCTACTAGGGAGGCTGAGGCAGGAGAATCGCTTGAACCTGGGAGGCGGAGGTTGCAGTGGGCTGAGATCATGCCATTGCACTCCAGCCTGGGCAACAAGAGTGAAACTCCGTCTCAAAAAAAAAAAAAAAAAAAAAAAAAAAAAGGGAAAATGTTTGCTTTTGAACATATTGACCTTAAGATGTCTCTGGGAAATTAAAATGCAACCATCTGGTAAGTAGTCAGATGCACCAGCTAAAAGGCAGACAAGAAATCAAGGCATGTTAGGAAGCTGTCAACATACAGTAAGCCCTCAGTGAATGTATGGAATGGGAAGAGAATAGGGAGAAGAACGGAATTCTGGGATCGATAATGTTCTAACTGCAAAAGAGGGAGAAGCACTCACAAATGAAACAAGAATAACCTACATGGTTTCCCTTCACTGGTGTTCTTTCTGGGTTGTGAGAGAATTAGAATTTATATTGCCAGTCCAAACAAAGTACTGCAAAGTCTTCAAATTCATTTGGTTTTCATTATGTACAGATAATAATCTTTCACAAGATCTTGCTTTACTGAACCAAAGTAGGATGAACTCCAGGAAAGGCAGGACATTTACAGGATCAAATGAGGTTCTCTTAACCAACTTTCTATGATGCTGGGCTCCAAAGAAGATGTTTCCTTGTGTGATGGTTATGTGAAGCCATAGAGGGTTGGCGGTGACCCGGGTGAGTGGCGGTTTGCTACCATTCTCCTCAGGCCAACAACTAAACAATACCCCCTGTGCGTATTTCCTGTGGAGAAAGAGACTGAAAACAGGAAGGTACATTGTTCTCTATATTAAAGTGGATATTCACCATCTATTTCTCACTGGACCCTTGCCAGGTCACTCTCTGCTTATGGAAGAGAGATGCCCCTTCCCTGCTGGGCTGGCCAGTGTTGAGCCTACTAGTGTCATTTCAGTCAAATCTGTTCAATCTGTCTACAAATGACTTAGTCACGGTGAACTGCTTTGGAGTTGAATTAAGTCTATTAGACAGTGGATTGCTTAAGCAGCTCTTCTCTGTGGGACTGACCTCAGTGAGAACAGAATGATCAGTTAACCTGAGAAGATCAAGGGAAGTACAAATCCTGGAAAGTGCTGTAGAGATGATCTAGGATAACCGACTCACTGAAAGATACAGCACCAAAGCTGCCCACAGAGGTGAGCTGGCAGGGCACGTGGATGTAAAACCTCAGATAGCCACAGGCAGTAAGAACTGCCGAGCCAAACTAGGATTGAAGCTGAAGTTATGTGATGGTACTAGGGAAAGATGAAGGCATATATTGTTGAATGGAGTGAATGAGATAAAGAGGCAGCCTCCTCCTTTGTCTCTGATCCAGGAGAAGGGGGAAAAAAATTAACTGCTATTCTTTCTGGGTCATACACAGATAATTTACTGGTTTTTGAATTATAAGATGTGAAGGGTAACTAAATTCATATGCAGAACAGATAAATCATCTCCTTCCTCTAATCATTCTTCCTCCTCACCTTATCCTTTCCTGCTGCTCTCTCTTCAGATCCAAAAGATCATATATAGTCTAGCCTCAAAGTTACTGTTTTTGGACTTACTACGCTTTTTTATGTCCCTATGTCTTGGCACATGTTGTTTTCTGAGCCTGAAATAGCTTCACTCTCCTTCTGTATCTTGAAAAATCCACTCTAATTTTCAGGAGCCAGCTCAAGTTTATCTTCTTTATAAAGTATTTTGGGACTCCCTAGATGGAGTAAGCAGCACCTTAATTATTCTACCCATGCACCATGCTTGTGCTTCTAGTATGTCACTTATCGTATTATGTTCTCATCATATGGTAGGAAAATACTCGGAAAGGTTATCTCACTGAGGATTAGACTCAGCTGCATGTACTAGTGGCTTGCAGAAAACGGAAGACTATTTCTCTCTTACAAAGGAAGATTAGGGGGAAGCAGAGTAAAGCTGGTATGGCAGCTTTGCAATGTCATCATGAATCCAGTTTTCTATCTGTTTGCTTTATCATACTTAGCTCATAGTTTTCATTTTCAAGTTCATCTTGAAATTGATGTCCTCAATGGCTGCTCAAGCTCCAGCCATCATACCCATGCTCTAAAAAGAAAGAAAGGGGAAGAGGAAGAATGTCATGTCTCCCCTCTTTTAAGGAGACTTTCTGGAAATACCATATAATAATTCTATTTATAAATCATTGACTAGAACTCGGTCACAGAACCACATCTAGCCGTAAGGAACTCAAGAAATTATGATCTTTATTATGGCAGCAGTATGCTGAATTAAAAATTGCGCCATAAGAAATGAGAAGATAATGGATGTCGAGGGACAACTTGTGGTCACATTGTCTGATATATATTTATTTCTGGTAATTCCTGCTGCTTCCCATTCCTCTGCCTATTGAATCTGAGCAATCCATGGCTTTAGGAAGCAGTTGGATTCCAGGTCAAAACAAGGATCACATGTGATGGCTTTAAAATTTACAGCCATAATTCAGGTGTGCAGAACTGTCACCTTCTTCATTTTCTGAACTTGAGTTGCCCACAAGCCCCTATTTCCATGTATTGCTAGAAAAAAGTCTCATCAATTAAAGGTAATGTAGTCACTTCTGTTTTAAAATCAGATCTCTTTGGGGTATTCAATCAAATTCAGGGCTCTTCCCCCATGCCCCACCCCCCCCTTTTTTTTTTTTTGCCCTCTCACCAGGAGGTGGTCTGGTTATCTAACATTCTTTCTGCCATTCTCTCATTCTCTTGGACCTCCAATTATTAGGTATGGTATATGTCTGTCTCCTTCTCTACCCATGAACTTCACAGAGTCTGGGGCATTGTTCTGACTGTTTGACTTTCTCCAGTGCTTGTTGCAGAAGTTGATACATAGGAAATAGTTAAAAATGTGACTATGAATTTATGAGTATATTTTAAATGCATCACATAATTAATTCAAATGGTACCATAATGATCTGAAAATCCTGTACAATTAAAAGTCTATTTCACTAAAGCCCCTGGCACTATGTTTATAGCTTTCTTATAGCACTAATAATCCTCAGTTCTGTTATAGTAGTTTGTGCGCTTGCCTCACCCCTCATTAGTGTATCTGCTTCTGGAAGAATGTTCCTGATCTTTGTAACTTTCACAGGTCCTGAGAAGGCCAGGGACATAGTAGGTCTTCAGTCAATGAAAATGAATGACTACAGGAATAGGGGTTGGCACTTTATAATCCACCACTAAAAAATGACTCTTATATGAGAACAAACAGATTTTATTAGAGCTGTTTAGAATGATATCAATAAAAACAAGTTGATATTTTGCCTTTAATGAAACTCTTCTTTTTTAAGAAAGAATTGCTGTTGTCTTTTCAGAAATCCTCCACCGACTTTACTTCATCCAGAAAAATGGTGTGAAGAATTCAACCACTTTATTTCACAGTGAGTATTTCTTCCACTAAAAATTGCATATCTAGCAAGGCCTTGATCAGTGATTGCAGAAATCCAGGCTGTGGAATTTACTTGGCACTAGAGGTTGTTATGCCTGTTAGCACATTATGACTCAGGGTTTGTTTTAGTAAATGATAGAACATCCCTTTGCAAGATGTGAAAGGTAAGGCATTCCATTTGACTCTCAGTTATAATAAGTCCTTCTTATCATATGGATCACATTTATCGGAGAACCTACTTTGTCCTAGGGCAAATATTGACAACTTGTCATGTTTAATGGGAAGAGATGAAACATCTAAAAATCCGATGCCCACACTAGGACTAAAGAGAAGGCAGAAGGTAGTAGCCTCCAGCAGAGTTTTTGCAGTGTGAAAGTTGGGCTTGCTCTAGGATCTGTGGCTTGGGAACAAGGGTCCAGTTTCCAAGATGACTGAGGGGCAAAGTAGAATCTCAGGCCTGGGGTGCCAAGGTAAGGTATCCCAACCAAGGCTGTAAGGTATGAGGAACAAAATGAAGGCCAGGCTGATGGTGTGACATACCTGGTAGGAGCTATGTCACTAGGCAAGAATTACTGGGTCTCAGACAGGAGTAGAATCAACAGTGAAACCAACAGTGGCTCAGTGTTGGGGTCATGAGCTTTTGGACCACACCAGTCCTAAATCTGAAAAAGATACTCAGACTACTGGAGGGGGTTACAAGACCCCAAGCTAGGGGCCTGGTGAATTGTGGGGACAGGAATCTAGACCAGGCATTACCAACCATACCAAGGCACAGGAGCTTGGAAGAAGTGCTGTGGGATCTAGCATATCAAACAAGGTGTTCAGAGGTCATGGGAGGAGAAAGGAAGTGACCAAAATAGCTGATAAACAAGAAGCGGGGAAGGGTCAACACACATTTTTCTAATTTATGCCTCTGTGCAAACTTAGCTTTCACAAAGAAGCCAGGCAATAAAGCAAAGTGGGTCTTTTGATCATCTTCCTTAATAAATCACAATGCAGATCAACAATCACTTATCCATAATTCCAAAATCCAAAGAGCTCCAAAAGATAAAAGTTATTTTGTAGTCGAGTCATTTAACAGAAAAACCTAACCTTACATGAACTGATTTGGTTAACTGTGAGGCTATTTATAGTTGTTATTTATCTTACTTAATGTGAATATTCATGTGTTTGGCGGCAGATATATTTGTTTGATTATAGTGTGCTGCCCCAGATCCTGCTGGGGCTGTGACATAATATGCAGTAAATGTACCAGTTTACCTTTCTAAAATTCGATAGAATTCTGAATTCCAAAATACATTTGACTCCATGGGGTTTGTGCAAACAGCTATGAACCTGTATTTCATTTTCATTTTAATTTCAAATATAGTACAGTTGAGGGTCCCTGAATTCGTTTGCTTGTCCCTTCCCTCCTGAACTTTTGCCATGTTCCTCAGGAAAGGGGAGTGGAAAAGAACTCAAAGAACCCTACTAAGAAAGACTGTGTTGGAACATGACCATGAAGTTGAAGGCCAGGGGTGGAGGGTATCTCGTTGCCCCTTCAGCCCCACATTGACATTTTTGCCCTGGCTGCAGAATGCACTAGGAGCAGCCACAAGTCAAAGGTGATGGTGTCAGGCCATGTTGAGAGGAAAAACAGATACTTGTAGGAGGAATGATGCTCACATAAGAGCAGTGGAAGAGCCACTTCCAGAGGTTTGGGACCCAAAAGACTAGGCAGAGAAAACTAAAGAGCTGAAGACATGCTGGTAGCTTGGGACCACATTTCGGACCACTCCAAGGAAAGAAATCTGGGAGCTAAGGTTCCAATGATTTTGCTGGTAAAGGCTGGATCCAAAGACTTTTCCTTTTCATTTCATTGCTGCACAGAGATACCCTTGACTGACCTTGTCTAAGCTGTTGTCCTAGAAAAATCCATTACATATTCACTAATACAGCTTCCCATACCAAACTCTCCTGATGCCTCTAAAAATGTGATTAGACTCACAAAACTTTGGCTTATGTATTCTTTTTCAAGAGTATGTTTGTAATCATAAACTAAGCACAGTATTCCTTGGATGGATTTGAGAATAAAGGTACATAATTGATGACAGGGATTGGACTACACACAATGCAGTTGACTCTTAAACAATGCAGGGGTTAGGGGTGCTGACTACCCACCACCTTGTGAAGTCAAACATTGCCTATAACTTTTGACTCTCCAAAATCTTAACTACTGATAGCTTACTGTTGACTGGAAGCCGTGCCGATAACATAAGCTGTTGATTAATACATATTTTATATGTTATATGTTTTATATACTGTATTCTTACAATAAAGTAAGCTAGAGAAAAGAAAATGTTATTAGGAAAGTCATAAGGAAGAGAAATGCGTTTACTGTTCATTACTTGGAAGTGGATCATCGTAAAGGTCTTTGTCCTCATCTTTTTCACGTTGAATAGGCTGAGGAGGAGGAAGAAGACGAGGGGTTGGTTCCGCTGTCTCAGGGTTAGCAGAGGTGGAAGAAAATCCACGTGTAAGTGCATCCGTGCAGTTCAAATCCATGTTGTTCAAGGGTCAACTATGCGGAAATTCCTCCCTAACACTGATGGTTCCTTATGGCAAATCCTATTATACGCCAATTCAGATCTGCTATGTTTTTCCAATTCTGAGAATTTCAGATGCACTCATTCTGAGTTGCAAAAGGTCTTGAATACTAGAATGGAGGGCTAAACACAGAAAACGATGCCTTTGAATGTGCATACTATCAGGAGCAAAGCAAAAAGCATCCTGTTGAAATTGCAGGGGAGGGAGAGTCTGGAAAGTTTATAATGAATCAGGAAGGCAATTAGAAATTAAGTGATTATGTGGTTTATTCCTAGTTTAAGATGGATATATGTCATCAGTCTTCTTTTTGTTTAATGAGTTGTCTTTACAATTTTTTATTACTGAAAAATTTTATATAGTAGGTGTTCATAGATTCCTTACGTACCTCAGCCCTCCAATCCTGCTTTCCCATAACATCTTAGGTTCTTCAACCATAAATTCTTCTGCAATATTTTTGGGAATATTTCTCAAAATTGGGGACTGATTATTATATTACATATCTTTAAATAGAAGCCTGCCCACCATTCCCAAATAATATACTTTCTTTTTTCTTTTTTTTTTTTGAGACAGTCTCACTGTGTTGCCCAGGCTGGAGTGCAGTGGCATGATCTTGGCTCACTGCAACCTTGGCCTCCTGGGATCAAGTGATTCTTATGCCTCAGCTGCCCGTGTAGCTGGAATTACAGCTGTGTGCCACCAGGACCAGTTAGTTTTTGTATTTTTAGCAGAGATGGGGTTTCACCATGTTGGCCAGGTTGGTCTCAAACTCCTGACCTCAAGTGATCTGCCCACCTCAGCCTCCCAAAATGCTGGGATTACAGGCGTGAGCCACTGAGCCCAGCCCCAGATAATATCCTCTCATTTCGTAGGGGAGACTGCTGACACTAGGCTGCCGTTACTCAGCCTATCAAATGCAGTTTGACCAAATGTCATTCATTATATTTATTCAGATCTCTAATTCAATATAAACAATGATACTCACTGGTTTTGAAATGTCTGTTTAAAGAGAGAGGCTTAGTTTGTTTTTATACTTATCTTGCTTGTATTAGGAGGCAAGGGAAAGAAAGATGGAGGATTAAGACCTTCAGATTATAAGCTTTTCATTATTGGAGGGACTGGGCTGGAGAAGATGATTATCTGGTAATTTTAGGAAAATTTCTTTTAACCTGAATTATACAGATAATTGCTTCAGTTCCCTTTGTAAACCAAGCCACAGTAAATCTAATTGTTTCTCTTTAAAGAATAAATAGGACTAAAAGTTCCTTAACGGCTTTAAGGCCTTTAATACTTTGTCCTCAAGTGACTGCTGAGCCATAACAGAGTCGATTCAATACTCTAGGTCTTTTTTAGTCCATGCTGGTCACTACCCACCAAAAGATTTTGTATTACTGCTGCAGGGATCTGAACAAGCTGGTCTGGCTGCAGCCTCGTGATTATAGCTATGTAGACGGGGACAGGGGTGTTTGTGTGTGCACGTGCATATGCATGTAGGAGGGCCAGGGAGGTAGGAAAGCAGGAGCACTGGGGATGTGGCTTAGTGTGTTTCACATTTATTTCCAGCCTCCTTAATTTGGGAGATAGTAGGAGAGATTTTTTAAAACGTCTAAAAGTCTAAAATACTTTTAGTAAACCTGTTTGGGGCATTTTAAAAGAAGCATCAGCCTGTTTGGTTCTGAACCTTTGGTTGTTAGTGATAATTGATTCATTTATATGTATTAGTTATGCATTTGTCAAAGCATGATTCCTGACAGCTTAGTTATGATAAATTAAATGCAATGTGCACATAAATTCTGCACTGCTTTTTATCCATATGCTAGGACCCTGCTTGATGTGTTTTGTCACCTCTATAATGTGTGGTTGGCTTTGTAGAGATTTCATTATCAGCCCTTTCCCCTATGACTAAAGCTATTTGCATAACAAGTTTATCTGGTTCAAGTACCAGCCAGACTTCTGCTTGGTCAGGAGGCTCCATTCAGAAGTAGCCTTTTGATAAGATAAAAATAATTTTCATTTTGTCAACTTCACCTTGGTCCTTAATGGATGCCACTTTTCTTTTTAAGTTCAAACTAATTTCAGGTCTTTGGAACAAATTACAAATATACATTCCAAGTCATTAATCAGAAGGTATTTGTGAGCTATGCTTTCTCATTTTGCCTCTAAAACTTTAGGGGTTTTATTAGGAATTAAATTTAGGACCTCATCATCAATGGCCCTTGAGCCGATTAGTGAGACAATCAAGATGGATTTCTCTTGGTCAAGGGCAGTTCCACCAACAGCATCATGGCTCCTCAGCTTTGGATTTAATAATGACTTGAACTATATGGTCACCTGCACAGGAACTGTTCTTGGAGTGGTTCGCTTGGGTGGTATAAGGGAGAAAAAGTAGTATCTTTTCCTCACCTATTG